AGGTACTCCCTTATATATAGGTTATGGTTTTTCATCCGTTTTGGTCATAAATAGGGTATCAATTTTAGTTTTGGTCATAAAAAGGGTATGGTTTTTGTACTCTAGTCTTGAATTGGGTATGTTTTTTAGAAGAAGCTACTTTTTCATCATTATCGATAAGACCGATCAACAAAAGCCTTTAACATCGGTCTGCACTAGGGAACTAAGTACACGGCAGGTCTGAAACAGGGCATTGATTTAGGGTCAGGTCATAAATAGGGTATCGAATTTTTGGTCAGGTCATAAATAGGGCAGGAAAAATCGCAGATTTTGGCCATAAATAAAGTAAGGGTTTTGCACCACACACCCCACTCAATTTTTCTCGGAGTGCCGCCCCTCCACCCCTCCTTGTGGAGGGAGCTGGTTTAAGGTTGGCAGAGCTGAAGGGAGGCCAATAGACAGGGGCCACTTTCCCCATCATTGAATACTGCTGGCTCGCTTCTTGCAATCAAGAATCTTGTAGATCACTTTACATGTTTGCACTCACCTTGTGACAGGATTGTACATTCCTTGGTATACAGTTGGTAATGGATAGTTATTCATTTTGCACAGATAATAAATCTCTGCCTGATTGGCATAAAAATAGAAATAGGTAAATGTCTGACTACAAGCTAAAATGCAATTAATGGTTCTAAACAAATAAGTTAACAAAGGGCTCTTCTGAAGAATTTTTCTTAAAAAGTTGCTTAATAAATAATTCATTTTTAACTTAAATCTTGTACTTTTCTTTGTCTTGAATTTTACTAAACTTTATCATAACTACTGTCAAATATTTACTAGGTTTTGTAAAGCAATACTGGACATTTCTTTTGGGGGCAGCTACACGATGTAACCAATTAAAATACCTTAAGCTATATTAGAACACTTACCACTTGCCATGCAGAATAATTGGACAGGCCAAAGGATTTAAATTTACCCTCTGAAACATGCAATAAAGAAGTTATCGTCCATAATATTTGCTAAGATCTAAAATGCTATGTGTGAGGCTAAAAAGTTAAAAATAAAAATAAAAACCAAACTTTTGTGACTAAGTAACTCATCTTTGGAGATGACTATATAAGCACTTCAACAGGTGGATGGGGGAACCTCTTATAGGTGGGCACCTCCTCTAGTTTAGGTGGATGTAGGCACCTCCTGTAGTTTAATATGGCATCTCCTATACATGGAGGTAGCCACTTCCTGTAAGTAAATGTGGCACCTCCTATAGGGAGATGTGGGCATCTTCTGTAGGTGGATAAGGGTACCTTGTACAGGTGCATGTATGTGTTGTAGGTCAACATAAAACTCAGGTTAAAATGAAATTCCTTTGTCTCTTAACCCTAATTATTCATGGATCATGAATAATTAAGGTTAGAAGTCAAAGAAAATTGCGAATCAAACTAGGTTAAAATCATTTTAACCTGAATTTCATTTTGACCTACAACATATGCATGTCCTAAAGGTAGATGTGGGCACATCCCCATAAGTGGACATCTTTGATAAAAGATCCAATAGAATGTCCTATACTTACCTTTATAGAGATGATTAACAGCTGAAAGTGTTTCCTCGATAGGCGTGTTGTGATCTGGAGCATGGAGGTAAAATAACTCCACAGTGTCTTTTTTCAGTCTTCTGAGAGATTCATTCAACTGTTCCAGCACTTTGTCATACTTAAGACCTAATTCGAGCAAATAATAGTACATGCTATGGTTCAGTATCACCCTTGGTACAATTTGGTGTTTTCCTTTGTTTCACACAATGTCTAAAAAGGTATGGTATCTGCACAGACCACAAAAAAAATGAAAATACCTAATTCTACCAAGGGTAAAATTGAACTACTACCTAACTTAAAATAAAAGCTTAAAAATCTCCTCAATTTTAACCAAAATTTATTTTCCAATTTAATTGCTCTTTCTTTCCTAGTATGTAATAGCTGACATACAGCCTTGATGTCCAGACAAGGACTGGGGACAGAAATTATGGGTTATTACTGCCCAAGTGTGAGTGTGAGATCAATAAGGCTGAGTACATTTTACTGAGTATGTCATTAAGATCATGGTAATGGCTTTTCCAATAAATACTTTCACCTTGATGCAATGTAATGTAACGTTTTGGGTAATATGTAGATAGGCATTAGACAAGTATTGTAATGAAGTGTAAGTAAATGTAGTACTGTAAGTAGAGTAAGCAGTTGTTTTAGAATTGTAATTAATGTACGTAATGTATTGTAAATAATATAAGTGTGTAGCAATAAATAAATAAATGAATAAATAAATAAATAAATGTCATTAAGATCATGGAAATGGATTTTCCAATAAATGCTTTCACCTTGAAGCCACATACACGAATAAAGTAAATTGATAAGTTACATATACATGCATACTACACTAACTAAACAGACCTTTGTCATTCCATGGACTTGCCTTTGTGGCAATGAACGCCTAAATCAAAAGTGAAACTGGTTAAATCAACTATAATTTTAAAACGTGCTTGCGATTTACTAGTTAGAGTTATTGGAGACTGACCTGTCAATTCTCTTCCTGTGAAACAAATGCATGATGAACTTAGGAATGTAGCTAAGAGCTGTCTGCTGCTTAATTTAACAGACTGAATAGAGTTTGTAGCCAGTTGAAATTTCACGAGGAAACAAAGACTTTTTGTTCCTTTGAAGGTACAAAGGCCAGACAAGCTGGCTGGGTTTGTTAATGAGCCACAATCATGGACAAAAGTCTTGAGACAAATTTGCACTTTTGGCGCTTTTGCGCACATGCCAGACATGAATACAACTTCACCTACCTAACTGCGTCCCTCACCCCCACCCCCCATACATTGTTGAAACTACTACCTGCAATTTCTTCTGATTTTCAACATTGTATTGGGTGGGAAGGGGGAACAGTAACACATTTTTGAAAGGAAAGCAGCACTTTTTTCAAACTTCAGTAGTAAAACACATACAATTCACTAAATCACGTACGTTTCCAAAGGACTTTTAATTTGTCCACGATTGCAGCTTAGTGTTTGTGAACTTCAACTTAATTAAAAGATTACTAATAATGACCAGCTCTACAGAGATATACCTTTGTACAACACTGTCAGTGTGTATCCCCTGGGTTCTCAAACAACTCTTAGCTCATAGGAACAGAATTGCTAGTGGAAATATTGTTGTTTACTCAACTTTTCAAAATCATTGCCTGATTCAATCTGTTTAAATTTTATTGCCCTCAATGACTTGTTATGCAAGTAAAGTACTACCACACCAAAGAGGCAGAACTGAGTGTCTGTATCAGGCATTGATCTGGGATAAACGATGACTGATTTCCAAAACAACAAGTGCTGCAGGTGCAAGCTTCTAGAGGGGTCTCGGGCCATGCTTCCCCAGGAACTGCTTTGGATTTTAACTCTATAAGTCACTTTCCACAGTTTCTGAGTCAAAATATTTCTGAAAAATCTGTGAGTGACTGATTT